TTATTAAGTTTTTTTTTTTTTTTGAAGAGCAGGATGTACACCGTCGAAACGAAATAAAACAACAGTTGTGTATTTCGGTGTAAATTTAATAAAATTGGCTCAGCCAAAATTATTAAGGTTAAATCGTTCAGAAAATGGAGTAGGAAGCAGGGGGGTTTTAGAGATGGGCAATAGGCCACCAAAAAGAAGCCCTATATTTAGACTAGGTCCTCGGGGTAGCTAAATTTACCATGCATAGGTACCAAACGGATGGGATGCCTATGACCTGCGAAGTTCTTGTGGTTCTTAAATAACTTCACTTAGCTAGAATGACGCTGGCCAGATCGTCAGAATATTTCCCATGGTAATAGCGATAGAATAACAAGTCGGCCACCTTGATGGGTCTATATTCGAGAGATTGCAATGAATCGCTGATAGATGGATTATCGATCATTTTTATTCCTCTTCTTCTATGTACGGCATAAATAAAGCCAACGAATGCTTGGGAGCATCGCTCCAGATGTGTGGCCAGTATTACATACAAATGGTCTGATTTCAGCCTTATAAAGGAGAAGAAGTTGTTCCAAAAGTAAAGAAGTTTTTTTGCACGAAAACTAACTTTTGAGAAGAGGTTTTGGTAATCAAAGATACATGGTCATGCCAAGACAAGTTGGTCGATGTGGTCAACTCAAGAAGAGATACTGAGGGATTAGTAGGAAGGTTTTGTCCCGACATCCTTAAAACTGGGAACTGGGTTATCATCGGCGGAAGATTTCCTATTTGAGAATACTGGGTTGTTAAGGCTCCAGTTGGTAATGGCATCTAGATAACTTTTGATAGAGTGAATCTGTTCTCGGGCGAGTCATGTGGAAGTTGCTGCAGTAAGCGGTTTGTCAGAAGAGAAAGATTCCATTGAGCTGCTACCGTCTGCAATGCAGTATGCAGTAAGTGAAATGATTATTCAACTCAAAGAATGATATAATAAAACCTACATTTTTATGTGATCGGCAGCACTTGAATTTGTATATTCAGGCTTTTAGCAAGAGAAGATGTATACAAAACTAATTATTATTAAGAGATATTTTTATTAACAATTATTATTCGGCAGAAAAAATGTTAGACTTCCAACCAAGAAGAAGATATACACATCTTTGTGAAAGGAGAAGAAGACAAACATAGCTCATGTCATCCAGAGATTCCTTCTGGACGCATCCAGTCGGTGTATTCTTGCCTCTATGGGACTCGCCTTTCTACGTGAACGACCTTTGTTTTGGCTATCAATGAATTCTGTATACAGTCGTAGATTTCCTTAATCATCTTATATGGCACAAGCTTAGTTCATTTATTCACCGTGGCTGATACAACCATCAGACGACGTTGCCTTCGTTGAAACTATTCATTCTGTGGAGTCTCATCTTCATTCTGTCACTGTTCGCTCTCTGAGTCTGTCCTGGAGATCAGCCACAAACTTAAAGTGCAGTTTCGTCTTCATCGGTTGGTGGTCAGCCAAACAGTAGAGCTACAGAAAAAAAAATCCAGTCAATAACATCGACGTCGTTCATAGCTGATGGATTAATGGTTTTTATCCACGAACATAGAGAGGTAGGTCCTTGTGTCTCCCGATCTCGTTTTCCTTATCACCAGTATATGGGGTCAATTTTTCGAGAATCGAGTTCCAAATATGACTGAGGTACGCCCCTGTTGATCCCTAAGAACGAAACTTGTCCTGCTCTTCAGAGATGAGCTTATTTGCTTCGAGGTATTTAATCAGTTTTAGGTTGCCTGCCTTTTCCATATAGGTGAGATGTGACGATAATTGCTAGGAAGAGTTTTCTTGCTCTTTTTCGGTATGGGCTTGGGCTGTACCATTTCTTGTGCGCAAGTTCCAAGGACAATTGGTGGAATGCCGCTGTGACCACAAAGATTTCCCAGTGTCAAGTTGCAGAAAAATTTTCCTAATAGTTTTAGGTCTAAATACAACGTTGTCCATGTAAGAAGGAATATGTGGCGCTCTGTCATTGTCCTCTATCGTGGACTTGGATGCAAATTACTTGGCAAGATCTGCTTCTTTCCTTTGACGATACTACAATGGAATTATTATCCTTAACTGAAGGTGGAAAGGAAGAATAATATGTAAATGTTTTTCCTATGATCTGGGCAAAAGATCAAAAGATCCTTGTTCCACTCGGGCAGTCCAAAAGTCGATCACGCACTTGTTGATTGTGTAACTCCTTAGCCTCGTTGGTTATAAGGTTTCAATCATTTCTGGTAGCCGTAAAGGACGATCGAGTTTGTTTGCATTGGTTTTTATGCCTGCACGGTATGCAGTGTTTTTACAACCGCTCAGACACACTTCTTGATAAACCAGGGTATGGAATGTTTAATTCCATGCCTAAGAAAATTATTTCGGTAACCTATGGAGCAGCCTCGTAGGAATCTTTAGATTTAAAGCAAACATCGAACCACAGAAAGGTCGGGAAAAAGAGTTTAAGGCCTTTCCAGTCTCCATTATAATGCCACCCCCTACGAGGTATTGGAACAGGAACTGAGGGTATAAGAATCTATCTTCGAGCGGAAATCAATTTGTGGTCTGATTTGCCCAAAGGTGCAATATATTTGGAGCGAAGCATATTCTACAGTTGAGCAAATTCTAAGTAGGTAAACTCACTATTCTCTGGATCGAGAACTACAGGCAAGTTCATAATATAAACTTCTTCTTCTTCTTTTTCTTGTGCCCTGTGCAAACGCGCACCTTGGCGATCCTTACTCGTATACTTGTGCCATTTGGAAAGTGCCATCTTCTGCTAGGCGGAATATTGTGGCAACATCTCTTATTCCGCACCAGTGCCTTATGTTCCGAAGCCACGAGTGTTACTTTCTACCCGGGCCTCATTCACCTTCTATCTTCCCTTGCAGGATCAACTTCGGAATGGAATATCTCGCACCCCTGATAATATGACTAAGATAGGATATCATTTGTGCCTTAACGATTCCAAGCAGCTCTCTTTGAACTCCAGCTATTCTCAACACAGCTTCGTTGGTTTTGCGGGCACTCCATGGAATGCGAAGGGTCCACATTTCAAACGCCTCTATACGGTTCAGGGTCCCTACTTTTATTGACCATGTCTCTGCACCATATAGGAGGATGGGCCACACGTAACATTTGACAACCCGAAGACGTAGTTCCATTGGGAGAGCACGGCAAGCAGAAAATTTTTCAACTTCATAAATGTGGTCTTAGTATGTTCAATTCGAATCTTAACTTCTTCATCGCAGTCTCATTTTTGATTAAGGGTGGCAACCAGATAAACAAAACGCGACACCTGATCCAAGTCTCTTCCGTCAACTCTAATCACATATCCATGTTGTCGAGTAATAGCCATAACTTTCGTTTTAGATGAGTTGATTGTCAGGCCAAATTGTTTACCTACTTGGTTTATCTGCCTACAAGCTGTTGAAGGTCTTCACGTGAATGCGCTAGTAGGGCAGTATCATCTGTATATTTCATATTATTAATCGGAATTCCGTTGACTTTAATTCCTCTATTATCTTCTTGAAAAGCCAGCTCAAATATCTCTTCCTCATAATTATTAAATAAAATTGGTGACGAGATGCATCCCTGGCAAACCCCTTTGGATATACAAAATGTATCAGTAGTGATTCCGTTGTTGATTCTTACCTCGGCAGTCTGTTGTAAATAAAGATGATGGATTATACGGATATACCTAGAATCTATGCCAATCCCTTGCAACCTTGCTAAAAGAAAATTGAGCTTAAAGTTATCAAAAGCTTTTTGATACTCTATAAAACAGATAAACGCATCTCGTCTCTGATCATAACATTTCTGGACAAGTAGTTTATAGAGAAGAGTGCCTCTATAGTACCTAGGCCCCTCATTGCTTCGCACCTATTATATATTCGGGCATGGATAACTCGGTGAAAGACTTTAAGAGCGTAACTCAGACTTCATTTTTTCAGGGGGGTACAAAGGTAGACTTGAGTCAACCTGATGGAATTTTACCTGTCTCATAAATTTTGTTGCATAGATATGTCAGGATTTTTGTATCTAGCATATTCAGAACCCCAGCATGTACCATCGTCACCAAAAGTAACTGGGACAGCATCACATTAGCTCTTGTCCTATTATATGAATTTTATTGTCAAATATTTGTCAAACTATGAATATAATGCATTGAAATGAATGACAGTAGAATTAGTCCAGGATATTATTAGGCATTATTTGTGTCCCAGATACTTTTGGTGACGATGGTATATTGTCATGACGGCTTTTTCGATTTTTCATGTTCCTGATAGCTTGTTGAACTTCACTCTCTAGTATGTCTGGCCCAATTAGTTGCTCTGTTCTGAAGAGGTCTTGCAAGTTGCGCTGATCATGAAAAAGCGTTTCCGCATACTGTTTCCATTCATTGCGCAGGTTATTTGAATTAAGGACGAGTTCTCCATTTTCATTTCTAAGAGATGGGATTGATCATCCTTTGATAGAGCCAGTTATTTGCTTTATCTTTCGATGAAAGTTGACTGAGTCATGTAACTCATGAAGTCTCTCAGCCTCCTCACATTCTGCAATGATCCATTGTTCTCTGGCTTCTTTACATTTTCGTTTTATTTTCCGATGTAGTTCAGTATACCTTTCGGACTCTTGAGATAGTTGTCGAATCTTGACGTGTTGCTGCTGGCCTAAGACTGTCTCACAGGCATCTTCAAGATTTTCTTTAACGTTGTTCCAAATGTCTTCAGGGTTGTCTTTGCTTCTTGGATCATTGGCATTGTATAGTCGGTTCAGTTCCAGTCTCATGTTCTCCTAAATGCCTGTCTTGTTAAGCTTCTGAACATCGTATTTTCGAGAGGCTCATACAGGGGAAGTTGCGTATATACAAGAACGTCAGAAGCTTCTCTATTTATTTATCATAATAGAGTTACGCTTATTAATGAGACTCAACTAACAAATTTTAACTCGAATTTTAACAATACTGAAAATCTCAATCAGATTGTTTTCTTACCTTGCAGTCCCAAAAGTGCAGCTCCGGGAAACGACGGAGGCCTCGATTGATCCATTATGGAACCGTTCGTATGGAACGGATTGTGTTCGTCCATTAGGTTGGGGTAGTCGGAGGGTTCAGTCTTTGGAGTTACGGGTTCGCCATCGCCATGTTCGCTCATGGCGGTGTCGCTACTATTGCTATCTTCACACGTCGATTGTGGATGGTCTGGTGATCCAGAATTATTACTCGATTTCTGGAAAAATTGATAATATTTTCCCCATTATTCTTGATGTCTACATTTACAAAGTCGACCAAAAAGTTACAATTTTTTATGTGTCTTGGTTGAAATTACTTACCTCTTTAATAGAAATATTGACGGACCCTTCCAACGCCTGGCCTAATAGCGATTCCGACATTTCTCCGTTATTATTCCTGGAAAGGCTGCGCCCCCTATCTGGAAAACTATCTCGTTCGGAACTTCGCGCCCTTTTGGCCGGGGGCGGCGAATCGCCGCCCTCTCGTAGAGCTTCTGGACGGTCCGTGGCCCACGGCAAAGAGGACGAGTTCTGGAAACGAAATTTATTGTTGAGCCTTGTGCGGGTTTGGGCGAGAGAGAAAAGTTTTTCTCGGGGAGAAATGTTCTTAAAATGTTAATACACGGACATGGGGTGTGAATGAGTAATGGAAGCAATTTTGTATCAATGTTTTCTCAAAAATCAGACCAAATTCGGAATCGAAAGGAAATTTAGGGGAAAAAGTGCGCGTGTATCACTTTTTTTGTTGTTGAAAACTTCTGGGTTTCCCTCACTTTATCATGGAAATTTTATAAATGTCGGTGCACATCCGTACGCAAACTATAACTTTATAAGCTTATATTATAGACAATACGTATCTCAGAATTCTATATACCCAAATTTTACAGATAATCGTAAGTTGTGGATTCTAATTAGGAAATTTTAAAACAGACGCAAAGTCAAAGAAGCCCAAAATGGCTTGGAATCAATTCATAAAAATATTGAATATTTATCAGAGACGAATACGATTTCATTTTGTCAAATGAGTGATCAATCTTTTCATTAATAATAATTGAAGAAAATTGAATTTAGATTATGCACGAAAGTATATCAAGTTATTGAATTTGATTAATCTTGATCAATCACTATTGAGTTGAGATTAGTTGAATTTTATGTGTCGATATTTTCTTAAAAATGCTTCTCATATTCCTAAGTCCTATTCAAATTCAATCAAAATTACCAAAGTGTAAATGATATTTTTATCGCCGTTCCATAACACCCATTATCAAAACTACGTATAATATTTAGAAATAATAGTGTATTATTATTATTACCTGGCCAAACTTGATCGCGCAACCTTGGCTTTTTGACTGTCCTATGGTAATTTTCAAATGATAATTGCTTTTGAGATAATTACTGGTTTCAACAAAATCCTAAATGTAAATCAAAACACATTAAATACACACCTGCCAATTATTTAACTACATATTAAATATACCTACTTTGTATTTTGTTCGTTGATTGTAAACTTTGTGTTTTTATTTTATATTTTTATTGCTATCGGATTTAATTATTTTGTTTTTGTCCGTGAAGATTTTCAATTAGAATAATTCATTAGCGATTCAGTAATTTACTTTTGTAGGTGAATACAATATATACATAAAGAAGTAGGTACATTTCTGGTGATTCATGGATTCAAGAGACGTAATTTTTACGTCATTTACATGTTAACATAGATAATTTAGACGTCTGCGGTAACGCAGTACGTCTAATCTCCTGGAACGTCTGAGGAATGAAAGCTAAAAGATTAAACGCTGAAGACCACCTGCATAAAACCGATATGAGGGATGTTGATCGAATCTTTTTTATAGGTTAAGGAGGTATCGTTTTAAATGATAAGTTGCTGATGGTAGGTTAGCTTTTCTGGTTAAAAAAGGCCTAGAACTCTCCTCTCTGCGAGTAGATGATCATGTCGAGATACAGAATGTCACTATTATGATTGAGACGATCAGAGGCCAAATTGAAATCACTTCATTTGAAAGAAATTACAATTCCATAATTTTTTTTTATTTAAAATTTAACTGGTTAAAACCCCTTGATTGGACGAAACTGTCCGTTTTATCTCAGGAACTATGAGTGCAAATGAGCTGAAATTTTCAGGGATTGTAGTCCCCTAGAAGGGATAAAATTCAGTGAAAGTTTCAGTTTTCTATCTATAATAGAAAAAAAGTTATGACCTTTCAAAGTTTTCCAAAATCTAAATCATTACGCAGGTAACTTCTTACTGAAACGACGAAATTTCAAATTTTTTTTTTGTCGAGATTTTGTATCCTAATGGTCGGTCAACATATCCCAAACTCCATACAATAAATTATTCTCAGATTTGAAGCCGAAATCTATGAAAAAAGACACTCAGAAAAATTGAAAAATTGATAAATCACCCCAAATTGCTTAACACGATTTTATCTCAGGAACTATAAGTGCAAATGAGCTGAAATTTTCAGAGATTGTAGTCCCTTGATTGGGATAAAATTCAGTGAAAGTTTCAGCATTCTATCTATAATTGAAAAAAGGTTATGACCTTTCAAAGTTTTTCAAAATCTAAATCATAAGGAAGGTACCTTCTTACTAAAGCGATGAAATTTCAAATTTTTTTTTGTCGAGATTTTGTATCCTAATGATCAATTAACATACCCCAAACTCCATACACTAAATTATTCTCAGATTTGAAGCCGAAATCTATGTAAAAGGCATTCAGAATAATTGAAAAATTGATAAATTACCCCAAATTGCTTAACACGATTTTATCTCAGGAACTATAAGTGCAAATGAGCTGAAATTCTCAGAGATTGTAGTCCCTTGATTGGGATAAAATTCAGTGAAAGTTTTAGCTTTCTATCTATAATAGAAAAAAAGTTATGACCTTTCAAAATTTTCCAAAATCTAAATCATAAGGTTCTTACTAAAACGATAAAATTTCAATTTTTTTTTTGTCGAGATTTTGTATCCTAATGGTCAATCACCAAACTCCATACACTAAACTATTCTCAGATTTGAAGCCGAAATCTATGAAAATGGCACTCAGAAAAAATGAAAAATTGATAAATCACTCCAAATTGCTTAACACGATTTTATCCTGTCTGATTCATTAGCCCGCATGATCTCCAGATCTCAGTCCTCTGGATTTTTGCGAAAACATTGATTTACTAGGAAACGATTCAAGATTCTTATTCAAGAATTTTTTTGCGGGTAGCTGACTCAATTGCGTCTGATCTTAGCCTGTTCCACTTTAAGCGGCAAAATGATCACACCATAAATGACGTACTTATTCAAATTCACAACTCTATTTTTTACTTAAATGTGAACTAGACGTCAGATCAGATAAATTCCGGAATTTTTGGATTATTTAGGATTGTAAAGTCCTGTCCTGTCATTCAACCATATGCAAAAATCCTGTTCAGAACAATCACCAATTTACACGTAATAACTAAAGATCACTTGTCCTGAAGCTTTACCAACCATGAAATACTAGGTATCGCATATCGAAAAAAATTAAATTGCCAAAAATGCAGGTGTGTCTTAAATCGTTCCTAATTATAATAATTAAGTATCCGCATGTACCAAATAAAAATTTCACAATAGCCAAAATGTAATGGTGTATTTATGTGCAGCTGCCTATAAATTTAGAAGACACCGTGATAATATGGCCTCCATAATAACCAAAAATTAGCTATAGATTTCTATTATATAGAGACAGCCCAAGAAATGTTTTATAGTTGTCCTGCTTAGCAAGTTTTTATTTGATTTTTATGTAAAAAAATACTGTTTTTTTTTTTTGGTTCGATTATTGCGGTTTCCCTCCTATCCCACATTCACCTAGACATTTATTCAGATTAGGTAATTAACATTTCGGTATTTTGAATGCCAAATTATATTCATTGCACATAAAATATGTTTGCGATAAAAAAAAAAAAAATGGCGATATATTATTATATAAATAATAACCGAGCATATTTGAATAATTAAACTTAATTCCGTTCACTTTATGGTTTTGGGGCTATTACCGGATTATGGATGGTTTATAGGTAAGAGTTGAATTAAATACTAATTGGTTTTTTTTGCGTCTATACCAGATAGGGTTTTAAATTTTAAATTGTTGAGTAAATTTGAGAATAATATTCCCCAATGATTAAGCGCACTTTCTCTAGAAATAATGAATATTTTTGCCTACATGAAATACTGCATTTATTACGTGATGGTCTCCGATATCCGACTTATTTGTCTCGACAACACCGGGGTCCACATCTAGTGAATACGGGCCTGGCGACCCCGAGTTACCCGAGCTGAGGTACCTACTCTTTCCTTCACCTAATTTTGAGAGTGCTTCCTCTTCTTCTCCTATAGCTTTCATATCGGGTCACCCCTGACCATCTTGTTTCACCATTTTTCATCGCTTGGAGGATTAGGGATGTCATCTAAGTAAGCTATCACTAAAGTGAAACGAAAAGAGCATACATGACCCTTTTGGAAGACAGCTGGTGCATTCACAAGCCCAAACGGCATTCTTAGGTATTCAAATTGTCCATCAGGCGTCACGAACGCAGTTTTCTCGACAGGATATTTAGCCACAGGTATTTGATGATGGCCAGAGGCATGGTCGTAAAGTATTGGCTTCCTTTCAATCTATCCAATAGCTCATCAATTCGTGGCAGAGGAAACTTTTCCTTTGCCCTTTTCTGGTTAAGGGCTCTGTGATCCACACACATGCATTCTTCCCCATTCTTCTTCTTTACCAGTAGTAACGGATTGGCATATGAATAAGAATACGACTCTTGAATGATTTTATTTTCCAAGTTTTTCTACACCAGACTTTCTAATGGTGACTACGCTACAGCCCGTGTCTGCGCAACCTCTAAAGGCTTCATCCATAATAAAATAGCACCTACTTCAATAAAATCATGCATGCTTGTCTTACCCTCATTTCTAGAGACTGCCGCCCATCATTTCGCTTGGACTTTGAAAAACAATGCTTCTCCTCAAGCCCCACTCCATCGCATTTTTTTTACAAAACTTTTTTGGTCTCGTGCACTTTGCGAATACCTGTCTTCTTACGGCGCAGTTAAAGCATTTCATAACCCCCGTCGTATCAAGAGCGGATGCGCGGCTTCTCTGTTCACTTTTCAAGACATTTCGCAGATCAGTTTTTCGAACAAATGTTGAAACTTTTTCTATATCCGTCGTTTTCCTAGAGTCCCCAGCTAGTGTGAATAAATATTCTTCATAGAGTGCCTATGGTGTATCGTACCTGCCTGATCTAGCAGAATTTTGTACAACAGTGTCTTTTATTCCATCTATAATAAACGACACACCTTTTTTTCCTATAATTCAGATTCTCAGCAACTCTATTTTCTCAAAATAAAAAGTCGTCATATATTCATCAGGCTGTTTATAGCGATCTTACATTGTTTTTGAAAGTGTTGCAAAGTCAATGTTCTCAGGAAACGTTTCCCTAATGAAGGATTTCCACTCTCCGCAGTTGTAGCTGGTTGTAG